CTCAACGATCCAATGCCTCACCTCCCGAGTGCTGGGAGTACAGGGCATGTGCCACCGTGCCCGGCTAATCTTTGTATATATTTTTAATTGGTCAGTTAATTTTATTTCTGTTTTTAGAGATGGTGTCTTCTTCTGCTGGTTTTGAACTCCTGACCTTGAGCAGTCCGCCTGCCTGGGCTTCCCAGAGTGCTAGGATTACAGGCGGAGCCACCACGCTTGGCCCCAGGAGTTTGAGGTTGCTGTGAGCTAGGCTGACGCCACGGCACTCACTCTAGCCTGGGCAACAAAGTGAGACTCTGTCTCAAAAAAAAAAAGAGATCCTTCTGTCTCAGCCTCCTGAGTAGCTGGGACTACAAGCATGCGCCACCACTCCCGGCTCATTTTTTCTACATATTTTTAGTTGTCCAGCTAGTTTCTTTCTATTTTTAGTACAGACGGGTCTTGCTCTTGCTCAGGCTGGTCTCGAACTTCTGAGCTCAAGTGATCCTCTCACCTCGGCCTCCCAGAGTGTTAGGATTACAGGCGTGAGCCGCCACGCCCGGCCATTCAGGGTTACAATGAATAACAATGATACACCCAACCCGCTGCCCTCAGATCCAAGCTCAGAACTCACCAACAGCCGTAACCCGCAGCCCCGCTGGACGCCGGGTAGCCAGCCGCGTAGGGTAACCCGCAACATGGTAGCTGCCATCTTGGAACGCCCCGCCTACGCTAGCGTACTGCGCGCGCAACCAGTCTGGTCGCGCCCCGCCCTCCCCCCCCCCCCCCGGCACAGGGCTCAGAGACACCTCAGACTCTTGCTACCCAAAGTGCAAAGGGCATCAGTTGCTCCTCCAAACCCCCCCCCCGCTTCTTGCCCGCGTCGCCTGGGACGGAAGAACGCCGGCGCAGAGCACCAGTAGGCGGAGCTAGGACCGCCTTGGGTGGTACAAATATAAGAAGCCCGCGCGGTCGCTCAGTAGTGACGTAGCACGCAGCCGGCGGTGAGGACGTGCGCGTCCTCGCTCCTTCCTCTTTCTTGACTCCATCTTCGTGGTAGCGGCTGCGGGGGCTGTGCTTCAGGTAAGCCTTGGGCCACAGCTAAATTCCGAGAGCTTAGTAGCAGCTTTCCCGCTAGGTCAGAGGGCGTGGGGGAAATCGAGGTACGGAGGTTGTTGCTCTGTTGCCCTGGTCCAGTCACGATCCGAGCTCCCTGGCAGATTCGGCCTTCCACACGTGAGCCACCGCAACCACTTCCATCCCAGCGCGATTCCTCTGGGCTGCTTTCCATTCCCTGGCCTTCTTTGTAACAGAGCATTTCTTCTCTACTCTTACAAGCCGCCTTTATTTCTTCAGACGCCAACATGCAGCTCTTTGTCCGCGCCCAGGAGCTACACACCCTCGAGGTGACCGGCCAGGAGACGGTCGCTCAGATCAAGGTAAGGTTACTTGTTGCTCCTTCAGATTCAGAAAAAGGACTTCATCCTTTTTCTGCTTTTCATCGTCGAGCCGCTCGAGAATGCTTGAGTCTTCTTTCTCCTTGTAGGATCATGTAGCCTCACTAGAGGGCATTGCCCCGGAAGATCAAGTCGTGCTCCTGGCAGGCACGCCCCTGGAGGATGAGGCTATCCTGAGCCAGTGTGGGGTGGAGGCCCTGACAACTTTGGAAGTAGCCGGCCGCATGCTCGGAGGTAAGTGGGGGAGGAATATTGTTTGAACTGCCTATAAGCTCCTAATGGATATGGGCTGTGTGGTCCTGGAAGCTTAGGGTCATTTCTGTGGCAATACAGATGGTGATTTCCACTGTCCTAAGTTGAGGATGATTCTTCATGTTTACCACCTTCTGAATGAATTCTTAAGAGTTCCATGGGAGGCCGGTCATGCCTGTGGCTCATGCCTGTAATCCTAGCACTCTGGGAGGCCGAGGCGGGCGGATTACTCGAGGTCTGGAGTTGGAAACCAGCCTGAGCAAGAGCGAGACCCCGTCTCTACTATAAATAGAAAGAAATTAATTGGCCAACTAATATATATAGAAAAAAAAGTTAGCCGGGCATGGTGGTGCATGCCTGTAGTCCCAGCTACTTGAGAGGCTGAGGCAGAAGGATTGCTTGAGCCCAGGAATTTGAGTTTGCTGTGAGTTAGGCTGATGCCATAGCACTGTAGCCTGGGCAACAGAGTGAGACTCTGACTCAAAAAAAAAAATCAGGAGGTCAGACTGGATTCCTAAGGTGGTATTCAATTCTTCTTCAAAGTCTGGAAAATCTAGAGGCCAATTTCTACAACTTTGTTATCACTACCTGTTGGGCCCAGCTTGTCTTTAAAGGCTTGAGTTGAAGGAGGAGGGACTCTGTTGGGTGGTGCCTTCTTGCTATCTTAACCTGCTGCTGCCCTCCTTTCCCCACCACAGGTAAAGTTCATGGTTCCCTGGCTCGTGCTGGGAAAGTGAGAGGTCAGACTCCTAAGGTGAGTGAGAGTGTTAGTGTGTTGTTTGGACTTTGTCTTCTTCCTATCACAGCTAAGTCAAGACCCTGGACTTGTGCCCAATCTGCCTTTTCCCCTCCCTGGAGATAAACCCAAGGGGAAGGGATGCTAGGCATGGAAGAGGTCATCCAGAGTCTGATTAGCTGTCCTTTTTGTCAGGTGGCCAAACAGGAGAAGAAGAAGAAGAAGACAGGCCGGGCCAAGCGGCGGATGCAGTACAATCGGCGCTTTGTCAATGTTGTGCCTACCTTTGGCAAGAAGAAGGGCCCCAATGCCAACTCTTAAGTTCTTTGTAATCCTGGCTTTCTCTAATAAAAAAGCCACTTAGCCCAGTCATTTCACTGTTTCATCTTCATTTTAAGGAAGATGCATGCTTCTCCCTCCTCAGGGAGAGGCATGGCTTCTAGGGCTGTTCATATGTCCCCTGGAAGAATGGTGAGACAGATAAAGCTGAGGCCCTTTGTCCGGGGAATGGTGGTAAACTACAAGAGAAGGCTTCCTGTGAAGAAGCAGTAAGCCCAGATGCCAGCCCTTCAGTTGAAGAGTTGGGGGTGTTCCTGATAATTTACCCCCAAGTCTTTCTTTTTCATCTTATAAACAGAAGGTAGCAGGAATCATTGTGATGGGAGGTTTGTTATGGAGACAGCAGTGGAAAGGAGAGGGGGGAAAGGGTTTGAGTAGAAGATGAATCTGGCCTTTGCTTGAATTTGGGACCAGCTGTGACCTTAGTAGAGTCCAGGGCAGGGACGTGGTGTTGCCTCAGCTTTAGAAATCAATTTTGCCTTTGCATTGACACCATAGTGACCATGACCATGTTTGTACCTCTGTGATTGCCTGGCTGGCCTTGCTTATGTAATCACACCTGTGATTGGATAGTTGATTGTTTTGGTGTTCACAAAAGTGGAGTTCTTCTGGGGCCAATTCAAGATTCCCTCTAGCAAAGGATATAAAATGCTTAGATCAGCACCTGCTTCATAGTAAGTGCAAATATTGGCTATTTTTAACTCTTGTATTTAAAAAAAAAAAAGACATGGCTTTTACCTTCTAGTGGTTTAGATTTTTATGGTGGAAAGTGAAACAGTTACAAGTGTTAGGGCCTCAAAGAAAGAAAAGGTGCTGAATGAAAGTGTGGGTGGGGTGTAGACAGACATACTGAAGAGTGTCCCTAGGGAAGACCTCTGAAAATGAGATGTGAGAGACCTGAAATTAGTCAATCAAATGATGAGCTAGGGAAACAGTTCCACCAACAGGACTGCAGGGGCAGAGGTGCTATCTCTGGTTGGGTAGCAGATCCTATAAGGGCCTTGTCAGCCATGGAGGAGGAGTTTGGGTTTTAGTCCAGGTACAATGGAGGCTCACAGAAGGTTTTGAGCAAGAGACTGATGTGATCTCTATTTCTCTGGTTGGTCTTTCTGGAGGGCTGGCAGGAAAGTTAGGAAAACCACTTAAGGTGTCATCTAAGTGAGCAGGCAGGTAGCTTAGACCACCAGTAGTAGTAGGGATCAAAGAAAATCTTCCAAGTACATCCAAATCTTGGTAGGGAAATAGTGTGATCCATATCAAAACAAATAACATGGTATTTTGGAGGCAGAAATGACAGAGTATAGGATTATATGCAAGGGGAGAAGAACCAAGACTTACTTCCAAGGGTGCCATGGATCAAGACTGCACTTAACTTAGCACAATTTGCTTCATCACTCCTATAGCACCACAAGACTAAGCTCTGCTAAGGTGGGGACCTCATCTCTTTTTGATCCTCATTGTGTTCTTGGCACCTAGAATCTACACCTAGTAAGTTCGATAACAGGATCCACATGGGATATTTCCTGGAGGGTTCTGTTCTCAGGGGTCAAACTTCATTTTGGCTTTCTTGCTCTGCTCAACCCAGATGTACTTGACATTTTGAACTTTTCCTTCTTAGAAGCCTGCCTTGCCAGGAATTTGGACTTAAATTCTCCTTTCTTCTTTGCCTCTTCCAAACCATGTCTGCATCTTCCCAGTTAGTCCTGGGTTTATGGATCTTGGCTTGGGCCAGAGTTCTTACCTCATGATTGGATGAAAGTGGGGGTGGTAAGGGAAGGTCACTAACTCTAGTTTTTGCCAATAAACAACACATATGTGAACTTTTTTTTTTTTTTTTTTGAGATAGAGTCTCACTCTGTTGCCCGGGCTAGAGTGCCGTGGTATCAGCCTAGCTCACAGCAACCTCAAGCTCCTGGGCTCAGGCAAACCTCCTGCCTCAGCCTCCCAAGTAGCTTGGACTACAGGCATGCGCCACCATGCCCAGCTAATTTTTTCTATATATATTAGTTGGCCAATTAATTTCTTCCTATTTATAGTAGAGATGGTGTCTCGATCTTGCTCAGGTTGGTTTTGAACTCCTGACCTTGAGCAATCCTTCCGCCTCGGCCTCCCAGAGTGCTAGGATTACAGGCGTGAGCCACCACGCCTGGCCTGAACAATTTTCTGATAAGATATTTTTCCCCTCATACTTCGGATTATTTTCTTAGGATCGAATCCCAGAAATAGTATTACCGAATTAAAAAGTTGGTAGCACTCTGGGAGGCTGAGGTGGGCGGATTGCTCGAGGTCAGGAGTTCGAAACCAGCCTGAGCAAGAGCGAGACCCCCTCTCTACTATAAATAGAAAGAAATTAATTGGCCAACTAATATATATAGGAAAAATTAGCCGGGCATGGTGGCGCATTCCTGTAGTCCCAGCTACTGGGGAGCCTGAGGCAGTAGGATCGCTTGAGCCCAGAAGTTTGAGGTTGCTGTGAGCTAGGCTAACGCCACAGCACTCACTCTAGCCTGGGCAACAAAGGGAGACTCTCAAAAAAAAAAATTAGTTGGATGAATGGTGGTGATACTTCCTGAGAATATAGTTATTCAACGAAGAGACCGGTTTGGAGGAGGAAATCAAATAGGAGCTCAGATCTTTCTTAAATATTGATTTCTGCAGAAGAGAGGAAATGCCCCCCCAACACCCCCATCTTGGTCTTTGTTGCACTCTACCTCTTTGTCTATACCCCCAGTTAAGTAGCGGCTCCTTCAGGCAGGGTCCCACCTCATCTTCCACAGGCCTGGCACAATCAGTGGCCCAGGGTAGATGCTTAGCAAAGACTGGTTTCTGCCACAGCGCATCATAGTGCTAAAAAGGAAGTTATTTTATTCTTCAGGCAATCTGGGGCCACGTTTCGGTGCGACCACTAGGGGAGGAGCTGGGACCGGCGGAGGGTTCCTCGGCGCCTTTTTTTCTGATCTGGGTGCGTCATCGTGTAAGGCG